GTTTTTATAAACATGTGTTTTAGTAAATGTAGTATTGATAGAGATTTTAAATAGTTTATTGAATAGATTATTTTTTAAATGTTGGAGGAAATTTAAAAGTGTTTGATTGAGTAGTAGAGTTAAAAGATTATAGTGAATTAGAAAGATATTGTAACAAGAAGTATCCTTGAAGTTAGGGGAGGAGTTGGAGTTTAAGGATAAGTATTGGGTTTCTGCAAGGTTGCTCACCATTTTAAGCTCAGCTCACACAGCTGCGAAAGATACTGTAGTCTTCCCTGTATATTGGGTCTGACTATCATAATCCCAGTCTTTCGTGTAGAAAACCCTTTAATTAATTTTTAGAAAACATTAACAGAAGCTACTTTAATACTAAAACATTCATACTTGCTTACTACCCTTGCAAAATCATATATTTACAACTTTTCTTACTTAACAAAATATTTTAAAAAATATCTACTCTTGCAACAACTAAACCAGACTTCTATAATATGAATTATTATTACTCTAAATACAGAGGTTATTATGGACTTAATATGAATAAAAAAACTTCCAAATTACTTTGTGTTCTTTTACTAGATATTAATCCTAATTAATATAAAAGTCTTTAAAAAAAACAACATTATTTCAAAGTTTCCACTCAACTGACTATTGGCACATGTTTATGTAATTAATTTCATATAAATTTTACCTCTCGATACTACAAAATTACTCAATCTACTACTTTTGGTCTCTTTAATATGCAAACCTCTTCAATTATCTCTACTAAACACTTTGAAAAAATCAGTAATACTCTACTTGTATCTTCTATTGTTAAACAACTTTTAATCCAACTTCCTAATTTCACTATTCTTTTTTCATTATTTAATACCAATCCTATATCAACTGCTATTATTCCTTACTCTCAACATGTTTATACATATGTTTTATATAATGTCAAAAATCTTTCTTGTATTCTTTCTCAAGAAAACAAATGTTCATTAGATTATATTATAGCAATTTTTTTTAGAACTTAATTTATCTATCATAGTTGTACTTAGTGTTCAACGGACCTGAACTGAGACCCAGAACTGACCCAGAACCAACCTGATGAATTGAATCGAATCTATAGTTTTCTGGAACTAATTGCTTCAGGTTTTGATATAGACCTGAACCGATAATACCCAATCCGACCTGATAGGTAATATGCAATTTATTAGTCACACAATAATCAGGTACTATGTGCAAAAGATCTGAATGAATCCAGAATTTTTTATAGGTATTATAGCTGTTCTATAAATTTTTGGACATCTGATGAAAAATTGACCAAATAATTGTTTAGATTTGATAAGTTTGTGATTCGGCAGTAATAAATTTTTGATATGGATTTAAAAGTTTTAATATATGTATAATGATTATTATATAATCACTTATTACTGAAATCTCAAACTTATCAAATCGGCCAAACAATCATTCAGTCAATTTTTCATCAGATGTCTAAAAATTTATGAGAACAGCTATAAAGTAGCATTTTACAAAGGATACTCGAATTTAAAACTGTACATGATATCCTTTGCTAAATTTATAAAAATACCAGATCTGTTCAGATCTTTTTCTGTAGGTAAGTAAGATAAGTAATAACAATTTGCATAATCTAAAAGCTTATCTATAGAGTCTGTTATAATTATGTAATTGTGCATAAATATATGAATAAATATGAGAACCCACTGATTTTTCTTGTAAGGACCTGTGCTAAACTAATAATAATGTTGTTAGAGAAAGGAACCAGATGTAGGAGAATAAAGTTTTAGTAAAGTGATTGTAACAAAACAGTATAACGTTTAATCCTTATAACAAATAGTACAGAAACATTTTGCAAGAAAACTGTAAACTTTTTTTTTTTTTTTAATTATATTGACTTAAGGTGAAAAAATATTGGTGGAAGCTACTTGAATAAAACTACTGTCTTTTATTTTGAAGGAGAAGGAAAACATTGGCAGAAACTCTTTATTAACTGATAATGTCAAGCCCATCTGCATTATTTTATGATGAAATGCAAGAACCAATAGATGTATTGTCTGGTGACAAAGCTCAGAAACCAACATATAAGTTGTCTTGTGATAAAGCTCAGGGGCTGACAAGCATGGCTTATGATGAATTTAATGATAATGAATCAATATCTGCAGAAGCTGTTAGTGAATCTTCTAAAAGTACAAGATAATATATTATATCAAAAAATTAACTATTAGATTATATTATGTATTAACATATAGTATTTATTTACAGATCATTTGTGTAGAACTATTTTGTGAAAAAGAAAGATAAAGATGGATTAATTACAATTGTGATGTGTAAATTTTGTAATAAAAACTTAAAAATTCAAGAGGATGAATCAATGTCAAGTTTTAGGAAACATCTTAATACTAAGCACAGAAATAAAGTACCAGAGTTAAAAAAGTCAAATGATGATAATAATAATAAAGTACAGTGTGTTTTAGTTTTAGACATGTTAAATAACAAAGCTGTAAGTTTTTTTTTTTAATTTGTATTATATTTTTTTTGTAAACATTTTTTTAAAATGCATTTATAATTGTTAGAATGAAAAGCATAATCATGAACTCTTTGATCCTAAAAAATTTACTGATCTTGTTAAAAAATGGGTTATTAAGCATAATTGGTCATTTCACATAGTTGAAGATGATGTCTTAAATCAATATTTACATATTTGGATCCTCATGCGAAAGGTATAATTTTTGCTTCATTTTATGCAAATATATTATTTTTTTACTAGATGTAATTTATTAGAAGTATTTTAAAAAAAATTTTTTTTATACATATAGCATCATTATCAAACTTAATAAAAAGACATATAACAGGCAATTTTGAAGAAGAATGTGTTCAGCTTCAAAATAAATTGTGTAATATTCCCAGACATATGTCATTAACAACAGATATCTGAACAACTAATAATAATGAGAAATTATTTATATCAATTACTATCCATTATATAAGTAAATTATGGTTAATAAAAAATCTATTACTAGATTTTATCTATATGGATGAGTAACATATGGGTGTTGATATTGCTAAAGCTATAGAAGAATGTTTTCGATCTACAGGGATCATTTCAAAAATAATAGCAATTATGCATGACAATGCATCTGCTAATGACAAATTTTTGCAAGAATTTTCTGATTCTCTTTTTCAAACTAGTATCTCATTTGATGCTACGCAACAATCAGTACAGTGTTTTGCTCATATATTAAATCTGGCAGTACAAAGCATATTTAAAAATGCAGAAAGCAAATTAGAAAAGATAATTGGTTTTTGTTTATTTGTATATTTATAAAAATCTTACTTATTTATTATATATATATATATAGTTGTGTACATTAATTAAAAGCATTAGAGGATCAAAAATATATAAAAAAAATATGAAAATGATGTGTCAAGTACATGGTATAAAATTACTAAAACCAATTCTTGATGTTACTACATATTGGAACTCAATCTATGAGATGTGTAAACATGCAATAACATTAAAAATCATTTTAGATGCCATCTCTTATACTGAATCAGACTTACGATAGTATGTACTTTCTGAAGTGGATTAGGAAAAAATCAAGCTTCTTGTTGCAATTTTATTGCCATTTAAGGATGATTAGTATTTTTTTTTTTTAACCTTTTAAAAATTAAATTACTTATTTTAATTTAATATTTAGCAACAATCGAAATGTCAAAGCAAAAGTATCCAACATTGTCAATGGCTATTTCTTTTTACTACTTATTAATTGAAATGCTTAAAAAGGCTATTGAGAAAAAAGACACACCACAATGGCTTATTAAAGAATGTGAGGCTGCGATGGCAAACCTTTTAGATTATTGTAAGAAAACGAATATGTTAGGTCTTGCAGCAGTAATCTTAGATTCATGCCTTAAACTTAAGTATTTTGAAACACTTGGCTAGTTATTACATCTTATTGCTTAGATTAAGGATATGTATATTAAATTACATTAAGAATATGTATATTAAATTACAAATTATATTATATAATAATTAAATAAAATATTATATATAAATAATTTTTTAGCATAATTAATAAATATGAAACTGAATATGCACCTTTTCAAGACACAACTCATACAATTAGAGAGTTATCTGAAAAGAATATATTGTCATGCATTTATAAAAGGCTGCATTTTGAACAACGAAGTGAATTAGAATCTTATTTGTTTGTACCATCTGTTTATTCAAATACTAATATTTTAGAATAGTGAAAAACAAATAAATTAAGTTATCCAAATCTTGCAAAATTTGCTTAAGATTCTTTTTCTATTCTAGTGACAAGTGTTCCAAGTGAGCAAGTCTTTAGTATTAGCAGTGATATAATAACTGATAAGTGGAATTGATTGTCTGATAAAACAGTATGAATGGTGATATGCTTGAGATCCTGGTGAAGAGAATTAGATAATTGAGATTTTGATGAAAAAAATTAGAAATTTTTTTTTTTGAGCTCAATAATGTTTATGGGTCTCAAATATTCAAAAAATTAGATTTGCTTTATTATAATAAAGTCTTTTTGCTTATTAAAAAAAAAATAAATAAATAAATTGTTTTTTTGCTTTACAACTAACTATTCTTATAAATATTGAAATATCTAGTAAAAATTAACTGAATGATTATTTGGCTAAATTGATAAGTTTTTTAATTTCGATAAATAAGCAATTACATAATAATGCACATATCTTGCTAATGACAAAGATAATGTACTATTTTATTTTTGCACTTCAGATAAGTTGAATATTGTAGAATCAGTTACTATTACCTCAGACAAAGCTAAATATTTCAGATTCAACAATAATTATTTCAGACAAGCTAGATATTTTTTTAAAATGTTTACTTAGACAAACAAACTAAAAGTTTCTTAGTTACTATTTTAATATTTTTATCTGATTCATACTGATTTGCTTTTTTGTCTATTTTAAAATTTATTATAATTTATATTATATAAATAAATAAATTTTATCATTTTTACTATTACTTAATTATAATTTTTAATGCAGTTTCAACAAATATTAATTATAACTTTTTTATATTTGTTGTTAAAGATCTGCTGGTTGACAAGAACTATCTTTATACAAACTAAACTAAACATACTAGACATGCTTTCAAGTGAATTTTTAATTTTGGATGTGTTGATATTGTAGTATCATTCAGAATATTGTACTTATTAAGAAAATTTCTATCTAAATATTATTAAATTATCTGGTTATATATAATTTATCATAGCTATATAATAAAAATATCTACCTTAGTACAATCTCTTGTTTAGAATACATTTGACAAAAAAATATATGTTGTCAATAGAGATGTTAAAGTGTCTGTCTGAACTGATCAAACTTCAGAAGTCGAGACTCAGACTTGAGTTTTTAATCATATAAAGTTGTACAAATCAAGATAGATAACAAAACTGACAATGATAAACTTAATTGTTGTATATACAGTATATTGCTTTCAATTTGGTAAATATCATATGATATCACTAAAGTCGACTTAGAGCCAACTTTATTTTATCTGGCTCGAAAACTGACTAAACCAAGCTGTTTAACATCCTTAGTTGTCAATAACCCAAAATTTATAATAGCTGTAATGGTTCCAGGTCAAGTTCAGGTTTGTTCTAGTCAGTTCTGAATCAGTTTAAGACTTGATCTAGTTTTTTGGGTCCAGTTCAGATTTTCTCTAAAATCTGTCCTGATTTAGCCCATAAGGAACACTATTTGTATTTACAGAATTATTAATATTAAATTATATTATCTTTCTTAAACTAAACATTTAACTCAAGAACAAAAAAAAAAGGCTCATATATCCAAATTTATTTTACTTAATAAAACTGAAAACTTAGAATTTTTTAAAGAAATTTTATCTAAATTTCTTAAAAAAGAATACCAAATCTCAACAACAAAAACATAATACCTCTCAAGATCTTGACTAGTTTAAATTATTTTTTGTTACAAAAGAAATGAAACTCAACTCAAAACTTAATACTCCATTTTCTCAACAATTATTTGAGTTTCTTAAACCTAACTTAATTCAATTTATATCTGGAAAAACTATTCTTTCTAAAAACTCAGATATCAAACCTACTTTTAAATATTCTTTTGATTACTTATTAAAAAATATAGTGAAGCAAAAACCCAAATTTTTGGTAAACTTATTTCATAAAACTAATTCATCAATTGATACTTATATTTCAATTTCTATAGAAATTTTAATTAATATCTTAAAACTTATTCTTTCTAAATTTCTTACTATATTCTTTACAAAACTCAACTATAAAAAAAATTCTTCAATCTCATTATACTATACCACTATATATATTTCAAAATCAACTTCAAGTTACTATTAATATTGCATATTTATACCTCTTTCTTAACTCTACTTATAAAACTATTCATGCAAAAAAATTTACAGAAGATCTAAATCTTCAACCACTTTATCTCACTTTATATTATAATATTAGTTATAATTTAATTAACAAAGCTTTCTTTCAAATACAAAATAATGAAAAGTTAAATGTTAATATTTCTTTTAATATTAATACTAAAAAATTTAAAAGCTCTTTTCAAATATCTTCTTTTAAACTACATAGAGCAATTCTTAAAAATTGGTTTGATAAATTCTTTGAAATTTATAAACATTATTTTTCAAACATCATCAAAACCAAAGTTCTTAACTTTTTAAATACCAAACTGCAACTAAATATACTAAAGAGCATAAAAAACTACTACTTCAATTCTTTATTATTGAATCTATTACATTTCTTCAAAAGTGTACTCTATTAGTTAGAAAATTTGCTCTTTTTCATGTTTATATTTGCAAAAACTCTGATAAACACAAATATACAGTTCTTTTATCTGATACTTAATATAATTTTTAAAATCTCTTTATATATTACTTTGATTAATCTTTTAAAAAATTTCTTGCTCCTGTTTTTGACAAATTAAGTACATCTACCAAATCTAATCAACCAGCATGAACTCATCCTACCTTAGATTTCTCAATCTTTTATAAAAATAATAAACATTTAGCTTCATTCAAAATTCCAACTCCAATTAAATTTTTTCGAAAACTTACTAATTCTGCTAAAAAATAATTTATAAAAATCAACAAAACTGATCATAATATCAATCATCAAACCTATTACTTCTATAAATACTTCAAAGCTTTCCTTCAAGCAACAGCTTAAAATAATAAAATCTTTAATTTAAACTATGACCAAATTACAGATATTTATTTTTTAGTCAGAATTATTAACTACTTTGAAATACTTAAATAAAGTGGTACAAATTTTTCTAACTTCTTTATCTGAAAAAAATACAATAAAAACTATTACTCTCAAGCTGAATCTCTTATTATTAAGAAATTTAAATATATTATTTCAAAAAAAATTAATGATCTTAATCTTTTCAAACCTATTATCTCTCAATCTCCTTTTTAATAAACCTTTTTGCAAGTAACATTAAAGCAGCTGCCACCTCTGAAATTATAATATACTCTACAAACAGTAGGCCATTTTTAGAGGAGAATGATATAAGTAGGCAGACAGTAAAGCCTATTTATACAAAAGTCTGAAATTATGACAATTAGGCCCAACATACAGAGAAGACTATAGTACCTATTACAGCTGTACAAGCCAAGCTTAAAACAGTAAGCAATCTTACAGAAACCTATTACCTATTCTTGAATTCCAACTCTTCTCCTAACTTCAAGAATGCTTCTTGTTACAATATCTTTCTAATTTACTATAATTTTTCAACTTTATCATATAATTAAACACTTTTAAATTTTCTTCAACATCTAAAAAATAAATTATTTAATAAATCATTTAAAATCTCTATCAACACTATACTTACTGAAATAGATGTTTATAAAAACTTAAACAACAATATAATACCAAATCATATATTTCTCTCTAAATTACTTTATTATTAATACTATAATTTATCTATTAAATTATATTAACAATACTTAGTTTCTAATTTATTATCATATTCTAATTTCTTTAATACTAACAACCTCAATATCACAAATCCTATCTCTTCTATATTACATTTATCTGACATTACTTTAACTAATAATATCTTCTCTCTTCAAACATCTCTCATACCTATAATTTCAATTTTTATAAAAATCTGTTCTTTAAATATTAACAGCTTACTTTAATATTCAAAAAAAAGCTTACTTATTGATATTATTAATTAACATAACTTTGATATCTTTGAATTATCAGAAACATATCTTAGCTCTAAAAAAGAAAAATTCTTTAACCAAAATCTTCAAAACCATAACAGCTTTTGAAATTTTTATAAAAATTTCTATCAATTAGATGTTGGAATCTTTATATATAAAAGAATCTTCAAATATATTGCTAGAATACATAATTATAATGGTCATATAATTGGCTTAGATCTATATTTTAAATACAACTCTATTCACATTCTTCAAATATACCTTTCTATTTTAAAGAAAAAACAATTACATACTAAAATTCACAAACAAATTATTTTACTCTGTAACAATTCTATTAACTTATAATATTTAGTGATTTCAACAGTGTTCCAAACTCTTGCCAAGATAAAAACCCTCCAAAAAACACTTCTATCTTAGAATCTCAAATTCTCAAATACTTAATTAGTCATCAATTTAAAGATATATATCGATTTTTTTTTTTTACAACATCAAACTTTATATTTTTTTACTTAATTTCTAATAACAGAATTGACCAAATATGGACAAATTTAAATATATCTCAAATTGAATATACTGATATCCTTAAAGATATCTCATCTGAATCAGATCATAAAATTATTACTTTTGAAATTTCTATAACTGTCAACAAAACAAAACTCTCTAAACAACATACAAGAAAAAACTTCTTTGGAAATTCTGCTCAAAGAAAAATATTGAAAATTACTCAAATCAAATATCACAAAGTCTTTGCCAATTACAAAATCAAATATCTAACATTTCAAATCAAAATGAACTCAATATAATTTGAAATAAAATACTTAAAACACTTACTAAAGCTACTTTAAAAAACATTCTTTACAAAAACATTAAAACAATTCAAGAAATTAAAGATGACAAACCTTTCAAACAATATATACTCTTTTACAAATATAAACAAATACAATATTTAAAAAACCATCTACAATCATTCAACTTTCATAATCTTCTTAATGATTACACAACCAAATATTCTGAAAACTTTATT